TTTAGTATTAATTTATTTTTTAAGTCCTTGTTGATTTTATCTAGGTATGTTTTGCTGACAACACCGAGTTCACTTTTTGGTGGATTTAATAGGCGGCAAGGTTTTTGATTTTCAAAGTTGTTTTTGTGGTCTTTTAATATAATGAATGCTTCTGATTTGGCGATTATATTGATTTGTTTCTTTATATTTAGTTTAGTTGCTATGCTTTTTGCTTCGAGGTTGATTGAATTTTCTAGTTTTTTAGAGACTTTTTTGTATGTTTTAGTGATGTTTTTTTTCAATAATTTGGAGTAATCTTTGGGGGGTAATTGGTAAATGTTGTTGGTTTTGTCAGCAAGTATTAGGATGTTTGGGTTAGATTTAATTTTTGAAACGTCGTCCTGTAATTTTTTTTTGAAATTGGCTTTGGGATTTCTTAAACTTTATTGATTTTACCAAATTAAATAGTTCTGTCTCAAAGTTTTCTAATTCTTTGCATTGTGGGGGTGTTTTTTTCTTTACATATATATATACATATATATATATATATATATATATATATATATATATATATATATATATATATATATATATATATATATATATATATATATATATATATATATATATATATAATATATATATATATATATATATATATATATATATATATATATATATATATATATATATATATATATATAATATATATATATATATATATATATATATATATATATATATATATATATATATATATATATATATATATATATATATATATATATATATATATATATATATATATATATATATATATATATATATATATATATATATATATATATATATAATAGGAACAAAATATATCGATTTTATCAAAAAAAATACTTTTGCGAAGAATTTTTTTTTTCTTTGACAGATATAATAAGGAAGTTATTAATTAACTCCTATAATCAGGGCCTACTACACAGATTTCAAAGTGGGAGGGCACAATCGTCAATTCAAAAAAAAAAAAAGCCCTTTAGAAAATAAGTGGGGTCCCCCGGTGGCGTTGGCCCTGGTAGTTAATTAAAATGACCTGATTACTTTCAACCAAAAAAAAACAGTTTTCTAATTGGTACTAAATTTGTATTTGTCAAAAAAAGGTTTTTTTTTATCAACAAATCGTTTAAAAATGTTATTTTAAAAAGGATTATATTGACAATGTACCATGAGCTATATTTAATGCACTTGACTTGTTTATTCCATTAAAAACCAAAAATTAGGATCTATAAAAATACTGTCTTGATGACAGTAAAAGACACTTAAAGACTGTCTTCATGATAAGATAAAATTAAAGAAAAGTTTTTAAGATTTATTTGAAAGAGATTATATTTAATAGCATTGGTAACATAAAAATTACAAACATTATCTTAATTGACATTTTCGGGTTTTTTCCAAAATAAACTTTTCAATGACATCACTCGTTTTGCAAAAATAATTTTCAATATATAATAAGACAGATCTTTCTTGATTGCATTTACAAGTTTGAGCGCTTTTAACTTTAGGTCTGCATCCTCATATTTCTGCAAATTCAAAATGGGCGAGTCATATTGCATTGGATTCTTCAAATCGTGTTCTCAAAAATTAAGTATTAAATCCAACACTGGGTAAACTACAGAAATTTTAAAATCTTGATCTGGTTCAGTAAAAGAATTTCTTTTTGTAGGAAATTAAGCTTGAATTCTAATAACTTTTGCAACAAATTTTGCCTCTTAAACAATACTTTCCCATGAGTCACGTAAGTGAGTTATCTCCTTGTTAGCTTCTTGTTAACTTTAACGACTTTGGCTACTAAAAAACCAAAAGGTTACCTGAAATCTTAAAACTTCTGTTTATTTCTACTTTTAAATTTTAGATAATATTTTTGGTTCAAAAGTTTTTCTTTTCTTTTCACATATATTTTTATTTAAAACAATAATATTTTATTTTATTTTGCCGGTTACTACCACCGGTGCTCTTTAAAGAGCACCGGAGACGATGCTCTGCAATGACTTTAATTTCTTTAATTTTATTTTTGACTTATAATTTTTTTAACAGGAGGGGGGAGGGGGCAGTTGCGGTACTGTAGCACCGGAGGTAAAGCTTTACCACCGGACCCCAGTGCTACGTTAAAAAAAATTGTCAAAAATAAAATTAAAGAAATTAAAGTCATTGCAGAGCATCGTCCTAAGGATGATGGTATTGAGATTTAAGTGAGATTTAAACACCAGGCACTCAGTTTATGAAACGTGAACTAAAAACTTTAAATAGGTTACGCATGTTTTAGTGTAACGTCAGTTAAATAGTGCATGTTTTAGTGTAACGTCAGTTAAATAGTCAGTTAAATTTAAAATGAACCACGATATTTTTGTTTTATCTGAAGTTCACTTGTGCAAAACAAAAAATAAGATTTCTAGTGAAAAATATATAACTCGTTTTTGTATCAAATGTTCGACATATATAGAACCAAAGTCAGTTCCTTCAACCGAAAACACGATCGACTACGATAGTGATGGAGATTTAATTACTAACAGAACTGAGTTTGATAATAACGCTATAACACTAACGATTATTCATTATAATAGTACTCATTTAAATAATGTTGGTAAGCAAGTGTGGGCAGCATCTCTGTTGATGGCGGATTATATAATATACAGTGACGTATTTAAAGATTGTTATTGCATTGAACTTGGTGCTGGAGTTGGAATTTGTTCTATTCTTGCTTCATTTAAAGCTTCTCATGTATTTTCTACTGATAAAGAAGATGACATTTTGTGTTTAACTCAAGAAAACTATGAATTTAATTGTTTTATGAGATATTATTTTGATGCATTCTACAAAAAAACAGATCTAGAATTAAATGTTTCTTTCAGAAAATTAAACTGGTTTAATGTTGAAAAACAACATAATGGAGTAAGTTTAAATCAGTTTCTTTTAAATTTAAATTTGCAAGATAGCAACTCTAAATTTTCTTGGATAGATAAAGACTGCTTGGTAATAGAAAAAACAAATATAATTATAGCTGCTGATTGCATATACGATGAAGAGCTTACTGATCAACTTTTTCATGTGATATTTACATTTTCTCAAATATCAAATTTTGATGTTATTGTGTTTTTTTCCATAGAAAAACGGCTGAATTTTACTATAGATGAATTAGATGTTTCTTCTCCTTCTTATGAACATTTCCGTCATTTGCTACATTTTTATAGTACTTCCAATAACATATCTATAACAAACATTCCACTTGATTTTCCGATTTTTGTTGATTATGAACGATCAAGTTATCTTGAGTTATGGAGAATTGATATTTTCAAATAAAATACTTTGTAAAAGTAGTTATATTATACCTTTATTAGTATATAATTTAATAAATTCAAATGAATTTTTAGTCATTATCATCATTATCATCATCATTTGTTCGTCATCATCATCGTCGTCATCATTGCATTTTTCCACTGTTCGGAAAGTAAAAACTAAAAACAAGTTATGTAATTTTGTGAATCTTTTTATTTTATAGAAAATTTCACCTTTTTTTTCTTCCAGAAACTATGGTGGGCTATGCTAAATTTAGTCATTTTAAGTTTGCATTTTTACATTAAAAGTGATTGTTTTTAAGAAATTATGTTTTTTTAGCAAGACTGTCTCTTTAAACCTTGTGATCTCAAAACCATGAAATAGATAATTTAAGCAAATGCTTGTGTGGTGCTAAGTTAATCTCACTTTTAAAAAAATGAATTAACTTTGGAGATGTCACACAAGTTACATTTTTTAAATAACTTAAACAGGTTTTCTAGATCACCTAAAAAATTTAAATGCAGCATTAAATAGAGTAATATGAACTTTTATTAAAATAGGTTCTGACCTATCATTATCAACATATTGATCTCTCTAAACCTTGTTGGACAATTAAGATTTACTATTTTTAAAAAAATACCAATTTCATCTAGCTCTTAGATGCATGACTTATATGGAATAAAAAAAATATGACAATTACTGTTTAAAACATTATCATAGTATGCCTGTGTTTAATACCAAATTAACCAATATCAATCACTTTTTTTATTCTACTTTTATTCTAATTACTTCCCCAAGGAGGAAGCTACTACAGTCAAAGAGGCTGTTTTTTTTTTTGTTTAAATTAACTTTCTCTCAACCATTTAACTTTGAAACACAATCTTTGACAAAAAAGAATGCTACACAAGGAAAAAAGAAAACTAATCTAGGAAAAAAAAGCAGACCTAAAATTTCTAATTTATTTATGGATAAGGGTAGAAAAAACTTGTAAACCTAGGGTTGTAATCTTCTTAGTGCTAGAATCACAACAAAAATACTCAGCCCTGGTCTGCATAACTACCAAACCCAAAGAGGTTAAGAATATTTTACCACCAAAGGTCTTTCAGGTTAACACCCTGAAAAAAGTTTGGTGGTAAAATATTACCCCTTTCAAATGAGAGTTTCGTTTGTCAGAAAAACAGTTGCTAAACTAATTTTTTTTTAAACTATTTTTTTTAAGCCTTAGTTTTTTGCTCAAATGCCATTTTCAGTGTGGTTACATTTACTAAAAAAAGTCATAACCCTCATAGTGGGTCATCGGGACTGAAAGGGTTAAGAAAAGTATTATAAAAATCTAAACCACACAAAGGTGTAACCATTGGTGTTACACTTTTTAAAAAATTTTTGTATTGAAAAGATAAGTTATAAAAACAATTTATTTTTTTTTAAATTTAATACTAAATAATGATCTGATATTTTTTCTATATAAAAATAATAAATCTTATCTAGTCATCAACAGGACAAGATCTAAGATTCAAGACCAAAGCAGGATTTTTGTATTCAAGTTTCAAAACAATATTAAGAGTTTTACCTCACAAATTTAAGATTTGAGACTTGACTGTGGTCATTCACATAAAATCAAAAATTAGTTTTAATTTTTTTATAAAATGAAAGCTTTAAGGATAAAAAGTGTTTCAAATTTATTTTTTTATTTTATTTAGGTCAATGCATTGCACAACCTTCTTTATGCAAAGATGGATTATCTTTAGGACTTCGAGTAAAGCTGAGTTCTGTTCAAAGTTCTGATAAAGCATTTGTTTTTGATAGTGGTGGACATCTTGGAAGTGGTGTTTCTTTTTATATTAAAACTAACTATATGTTTTTTGAAGTTGGTTCATCTAAAAGATTATGGCAGGTAAACTCACCAATACAAATTTTTTGACTTAAATTCATTTAAAATTTGATTGTTAATTACTTACCTGTTTTATTCTTAAAGGTAAGAGTTCCGCTTAAAAGCGATAAATGGCACTTTATTTTACTTACATGGTCATCTACACATGGCTTAAAGTTGTTCATTGATGGTCCTCTTGTTGCCACTACCAGACAAACACAATCTTCAGTGACTACTATAGATGTTAGTAACAATATTACAATAGGAAAAGCTAATCATGATTTTGAAGTTACAAATGGAGGATTTTCAATAGAAATGGTGGCAATATTTAATAAGTTTGTAGCAGAGGGAAAAGTGATGTTGTCATACTCTTACAGTCGTGAGTTTTTAATGTGAAGTTTAAATTAAATAGTTGTTATAGTATAAAAGTAAGTATATATAAATACATATATATATATATATATACATATATATATATATATATATATATATATATATATATATATATATATATATATAT